AAAAAAAAAAAAAAAGACACTTCCAAACATTTTTTCTCTTTCTGTGAAGCAGTAATATCCAGGGGACCTTGTCTCATGTTTAATGTCTCACAAATAAGCAACACTCCTGATGCACCATAGGGGCCTCTGCGTTATTAATTTCTCCATCACACTTCTGGATGGACATCATAAGATAATGATACTCAAGTCCCAGGAAGTAGGTGCTAAAGGACCCCCACTTTTGAGGGCTTGTTTCATTTGAATGGCATGAAGGCTSCAGTGTAGAAAAGGTGGGTGCCCTTCCAGCTAAGAAGTCATCACAAACTTCAATTCCACTTTCCAGYCTACGGGCATTCACCTCCAGTCAGAGTGGCCAGACTTTTGGAAACAGTAACCCTTTTCCCTGTTCAGTCACAAAATGTTAAAGCTCATTTACCAGTGCTCATAATCCTGATGGGGAATTTCCACTAAAATTGGCTTAATATGTGCTTRTTTACCAAGTGATGCAAAGAACAGGTCTAATTACTGTAACACACAATAAAATGTCTGAGTAGAAGGAAAAATTAAAGTTTACATAGTGTTAAATTTGTATTCACATCTACACTATTAGATGCCTTGAAAAGAGCTGATGTATTTTTATGTGAAGTCATATTGACTAGTATATTCCTTTGTGCTATTAACCCTCGTATAATCCAAGTAAGAAAAAATTATTTTAATTACTAGATGTGATCAGTTAGGTTTTTTTAAAAAGACATCACCTCTCAGCTGAGATAAACTGATCATTGGACCCATCTACTACTCCCCTCTAACACATAGCTAAAAAAAAGTTTAAAAAAATACTTGTTGTTGTTGGTTTCATGAGTTTGTAGACRAAGAGATGGTTGGGTTTCTGTGAAGACTATTTCAGGTACTCCCAAGTCCAAGGCAAAGTTCTGGGCAATCAGTGCGTCAATATCACTAAATCAGATTTTAATATTCTCAGAAATGTCTTGTATCCACATTGAAGTGGAGACRGCTCCACTTCCATCCCAGGAAACCACCTAGTGTTAAGTTTATACTGAGGCGACCACTCCACTCCTGTCACAGCCCCCAAAACCCTAAAGGTGCTTGAAACAGTTAAAGCCAAAACCACTTTAAGCTTCCACCTTGTTAACTTTCATTCCTTTGAACATAAGCCC